ATTGCGTTCTATGTAATTAATTGCTAGTCGCACAATTTCCTATTTAACTTACACAGTATGTTTTTTGTGAGGGTTTACTTTTAAAATTAAAATACGATATCTGTTAAAGAATGGAATATAAAACAAGAAACTGACAATTTTGCTGGTTTATAATAGTTGATGTACAGCACAGATATTACTGAGTAACAACAAGATCAATGCACTCATCTCCTTCAATTTCATTATCTTCAGGGGTGCTATCAGGCGAAAGTTGTTCACCATCAAACATAAGTTTTATGGAACTATACGGAATATTGAGTTGTTCCGACAACTTAGACATCAGCACAGATATCTTTTCATGTGGATATGTGAAAACGGTGTGCTTCTCTTTAATTCCTTTACGCTGAATAGAAAGCTTTAAAGCATTAGGATCCTCTTCTGCTTGCTCATCTGCATTATTTGTGGAACGCGTGGCAACATTTACAGCATCTATAACACCACCCTCTAACAAACAGAAAAAAAATTATCATATATGCAGGATAAAACACACAACAAAAATGTGGCAAATGTTACAGTATTGTTTACCAAGAGATGAAACCCCAATGTTAAGTGATTGAGGAGTGTCATTTGGAGACACAGTTTTGTCTCTGAGTGAGAATAGTATTCTTCCTTCCTCAACCCCTTCCATTTGAGCATAATGAGTAAATATCTCTTTAATCTTTTGAAACTGCATTAAAACAATAATAAAAAGGTTAGTTAAATATTTTAAGTTGACAATAAGATATTTATTAATAACTCACTTTTCTTAGGGTAAAATGTTGAGTAGAGGACCCTTTCCATATAACTCGAATTCTAACTTCTGCATTTGGATCTTCGACAGGTTCTGGCGGCACATCCTCGACATCCTTGATACAAGAAAAAATTAGTATTAGCAACATTTACATGATAAAGAAATGAGAGATATCTGTGGACCAAAAAACAAACCTGATCAAAAGAGAAACTTGAATGATTAATTAATGAATCATCAAAAATGTCTTTTGGGCTGTCCTCAACAACATGGATATCAGACTCATCCAAATCTGCAGAGAATGAGGAATCCCTACTCGCAATTCTACGGGACTTTCTGGGTACAGTTTCACAGAATGTACTCTTTGCGTTTCTTCTGTTTTGTCTACTCTTCCATCCACCAGCTGAGAAGCTACAAAATATAAATTTTACAGTAATACATTTAGAAGTCTCCATTTGAGATACATGTTAATTCAACGAGTACATACTTAATCACATCATTAGAATCATCATCCACAACAAAAATTGGATCAGGCACAGGTAAAGGTGCTGGAGCACTGATTTCACTTAATGACTCATCTGTCGGGGTTTTCTTCTTATTTTTCCGACTTTTTTTGCGAGGAGGAGAAGCCTCGGCTTCTTTGAAATCAACGTCGACAAGATCAGCTCCTACATCTGTAAGACACCAAAATTATCAGGTAACTTGATGTTATTATTTCAAACAGTAACATTGGTGTGACATATTACAGATTTATTTAAATGAGTTACAAATAGCACATGCTTACCAACAAAGCCATTGGGCATCAGAAGTTCATCATCAGATGAATCCGAGTCCGACATTTCTGTAAAACAGTTGTTTTGTGATTTAGGAAGGTTCTACCTAGACATTTGCTAGGTTAAGTTGGTTATGTTTTGTTTTGATGCATTTCGCGGGCACAGCAGGAGACAGTTGCACGCTGGAGGCACTAGATGTCAGCACTATACGGTAAGCGGACCGTTGGCGGCAAATTCAAAGGCGGCCGCGGCCCTGCCCTGAGCTCCACCGACCCCCCCCCCCTCTCTTCAACACCACCTCTCCCACACATCTTCCATTCTTCTTACCTGGTGTTGTACAAGTACTGGCACGACTCAGCTCCCTGATTCGCTCGTACATAGCCTTCTTCAATTCCAGATCGTAGATGGCCCTGGTCAGTCGATCAATCTCAGCCTAGAAACATTTATTTATACATTGAAAAAAGACAACAAAATACAAGGGAGTTCGTTCCACGTGATCTCATATGCCCTAGTGGCGCCAACCGCATTAAACGCACTTCAATGCACATTGAAATGCACATAAAAGGTGACAAATTGGTGACGCTTGTAAAGCACATTACAGCATTTGATACGCATTTAATGCACATTTAGTGCACTATACGGGCATTTAATGCGTCACCAATGCGTCACCTATCATGTGCATTTCATGAGCACCTTACCCCATTCGGCGGAACCATAACAAAGCAGAAGCCTCTAGTCGCTGAAATATCTCAAACGCCCTTAGTTTGGTGTTATTTTTGATAAAACTTGTATGGTAGGGAGTTAATTTTTCACACCGAAGACGATAGGACTACTCATTTTAACCGAAACGCACGAGAAAATTTGCATGTTATGGTTCCCACTACGCGCTGCCACCTCGCCACCGAATGGGGTAAGGTGCTCATTGAAGTGCATTTATTGCAGTAGCGCTTCTCGGGTGGAAGACCACAAAAAACACACTCAAATCAAAAGTTAGGGGGGGGGGCGAGCAATGCTCATTCCGGTCACCGAATTTTGGACTGGGTATAAAAGCTCCCCTAGAATGGATAATCGCTGGTGATGAAGGCCAAAAGCCACCCTGGGAAAGCTGCAAAAATCTACGTGAAATGGTCCTTATCTACGTCAAATTTGAAAAGAAACGTAGCTAAACCTAAGGGCCGCATAAAATTGACCGAAATGTAGGACTTGGAGGGGGGAGGGGGGCTTCTCTTCTTTGCCACCTCGTCCTATAACTTCTGTTCTCCTGTTTTGAGAAATAGACGCAGTGCTTACCTCTAAGAACCCTTCACACGCCTTCATGTCAGGCATCTCTGACACAGGACTCTCCATGTTGACTTCTTGCCTTCAACTAGGACGCTTGGGTGGTAGGTCAGTGGAGCCCAAAGATCACTAAAGACACGCGGACACGAGCCACAAGAGTTTGGGCAATAATGGGCCTGCTGGTGCGCCTTCACAGCCCCCACTAACAATCACTGACTCAGGCATGCGGCACCTTTTGTCTTTTTGTCAACAGTCGGCTCGAATGAAGCTGCATGTGGTCGATGGGGCCGTGACGTTTGTAGCTACGACTGTCCAGCTACACACAAAAGGAAGGTGTGGCTGGAGTGGGGAATGCCGGGCGAGAGTTGTGGCTTTGGGGGCGCCGGGTAGTAGGCGAGTTGCCTCTCTTCGTGTTTGTCTAGGTGCCTCACTAGGTGCGTCCAGGGCCTTTCAGCATGTTAGAGATTAGGCCTAAGTGCAG